ACCATATGTTTCTGCATAAGCGTGCACGTAGCACGCTTAAAAATGTACCCCACACTTCACCCTGAAGGTGATCTTTTCTATACAGTTTCCACTAATCCTGGAAGCAGGGCTGACAAAAAGGACCCACTCTAATCCTGCTAACTCACCCTAGCTTCACTGCATTTCCCATAACCCTGCAGCAGTCACAATTCATTCTAATCACTTTACAAAACAATCTTTAGTAAAAAGAGGAAAAATGCAGACTTGTAAGCCAATTTAAGAAATAACTGCTGATACATCAGTTATTGACTATTTCACTCCTGCTCATGATAGTGCTCAAGGCAAAACCGAGAACAAAATGACAACATCAACCGCACGCAATAAACTGTGGCCCAGGAGAGCACTGAAGCCCTAATTGACAGCTGTCAAGCTAATGGGAGAAATGGCAGCTGATTCTGGAAAATTCTGTTTTCCAGGCAGATATTCAGGGGAATCTATCAAGCCTTTTTATATTTATGCCCCTTTTTCTTTTTTTTTTCCTTTTTTTTTTTTTTTTGCATTGTTCTTTCACACTTTGCCGGAAAAAAAAAAAAAAAAAAAAGCAGAGGACAGCCATAACTAATCATTTTGTCAGCTTGCTGCTAGGAAGAATCTCTGCCCAACAGAGAAATATGTGGCAGGTTTGGAGGCAAATAACATACCAAGGGCTGACACTGCAAGTACCTTTATAGGTAGCCTACTTTATCGCTACATTTACTTTTGGGGTATGTATGTAGTTGCAAGCAATTGCCATAAATTAAAGCGAGCGTTCGAGTTGCCGGAGTCAGAGCTGCCTGGAAATCTGGCGGCACAACCTGTGTGCCATCTTGCATCTGTTTGCTGTGCTGCACCCCCAGCCCCACGCTGGAGGGGCCGAGGGCTGGCACGAGCACTCAAGTCCCTGGAAAGTGGAAGCGCTCTGCACCTCTGAAGCATCAATCCCGTGTATTTCAGCGCTCACACCGACCAGGTGCAGCTTTTGAACGTAAGAGCAGAAGTTGGGAAGAGCCTAAAGCATACAGAAATCTCTAGGATTTAAAACATACTATGCAAAAAAAAAAAAAAAAAAAAAAAAAAAACCATAGGCCCAGGTTTGTTTGGGGTTTTTTTCCAGAGCCTTGAAGACTCAGTGCAGTTGTCTGGCTCTTACTGTTTTATTAAATATATAAATAAATAAATAAATAAACTAAATGTGATTCCAGCCAACCACTAGTTCCCAATGTCTCTTCACAAGGTTTGTACACAAAATATGTATTAAGTAATTTCTGTCAGTAGGAAGTATATTTTCTTGATCTTTTAAATAGGTCTCTAAAAAAGCTGCAAGTGAAAGCTATAATTTAAGGATAGATAATTACTGTTTGCAGGATCAAGACTGGCCTCTGCTAATACAATATCTTAGCCTCCCAGACAGTAGCCTCTAACTGGAAAATACCTTCTTCCTCCTGACTTACATGACAGAAGTCTTTGGAGCAGCAATTCTGATTATCTTCTTGCTTTAACAGGTGAGGAATAAAATTGCAATCCCTGACTCTCCTTCCCAAATTTACCTATGATATTCAGCTGAGGCTCAAAGCAAACAAAGTGAAATTATCATTTTTACAGATTCTTGATTCTCAGAGACAGCTTTAGTCTTCCACAGTGTGGTGTTAACACTTGGGCTAGACATAAAGAATTTGTGCACCTGTCTGTTATGTCTGCGAGCTCTGTGCTGCTGAGAGTTCTTTGTTGTTGTTATTCTACTCCAGACCATTAAAAGGGTCCTAATTCCTATGACATGATTATCCAGGTACCAAAGCCCATTTGTCACCTGCAGCAGAAAATTGAGTTAATGCACAACTAAAGGCAACCAGGACTGTGTAATATCAACTTGATTACATCAAACTAGCTGCAAACCTAATTCTGCTGGATGACACTGCGTGGAGCTTGTCATCTCCAATCATTAAAGCTGTCAGGAATCCATCAGGTTTACAGCTAATTAGGTGAACACTAATGAAGCTGGCAAAACAACTTTTCTTTTTTTATGGCTGAGCGGACCTTTCAGTTTGGAGAAAAAAAATTCTCGAGTATTCTCAAGGTTGCTGGGGACTGGATTTCCTGAGTTACCAATCAGCAGACATCTTTAATTCTCCCCCCACCACCACCTTTTTTTCTCTCTCAGTACCAAGCAATCAATTTGTCATCACTCTCAGTATGCCACAAAAGCAGTCATGAACCTTATAACTCACAGCTCTCAAGCCAAAAAGCGGGGGGGAAAAAAAAGTAAGTTTTTTTCTGTCTTAAAATAAAACACCTCATACAGCTCACTTATTTATCTTCATGCACTTATCAACAGCATGAATGTTCTTGTTTTTTCACTCTTGTCAAATAAGTAGCCCTTCAGTCATTCTACATCCCCCATATCCATTAGGCAGAGGCATTTTGATAAAGTAAAGCCAAAGCTAGTGTATGGGAAAGAATGAAAGCACTCACTCTGCCAACTTCTGATTGACCATTAAGCTATTGATGAATGTGCCTGTCAGGAGAGAGACAATTAAATCAAATATGAAACAAAGTCGTTTTGACGGGTCATTTTGATAGAGCAAAACCATTCTTCCATCTCCTATTAGTCCTGCAGTCAAGTTTTTGTAATGAATATTTCTTAACTAACCTGTTATTTCCTAGCTGCTTTTTAAGGTGTTAAAAAAAAAGCCTTTGCTTTTACTGCTATTAGAAAAAGTAACATTTCCAATGTGACCAATAAAAGCAGCATCTCAGTGGGAAGCAATTATACACAATACTAAATGTTTAATGTGGCTATCAAAAAGCTAAAAGTTTAAAGAGATTACACTTCTGCTAAATATGAAAGATAGATCGCGTATCATGGATGATTCACTTGAGAAAGGAGGGAGAATCAGAGAGTGGTGGAGGGAGAGAAGGATACCTCAGAATGTGTGTTTAGTGCAGAAACACTTTCTTCCAGTCTGTGGAGAGAGAGCCCAGTATACAGCAGAGTCGAAAACGGAAAAGCACATGGAAAATCTAGATTTTGCAGAACTAAATTCACATTAAAAAATAGAATTTCCCAAGTATCAGGAAAAGTTCCTCTGTCATTTTTCTAGAAAAATGTTATTTGATGGCACAGGCCAGAAAAGCAAAATATTACCATGAAGTATTTGGCTACGATATTGTTTGCTAGATGCTATCACTACCGTACTGTGAAACTTTCCAAACTTTCTAGCTGTTTGCATTCGGGGTAAGACTGCTGGGAAGTCAATTTCCCTGTTTCAAAAGCACTGGCCGAACGCACGTGGATGTCCAAGAGGAGAAGAAAGGCAACATGCACGTTGTTATTTACAATTTGCCTTACTCCCCGAGCCCCTCGCTGTTTACCAAAGCCCAGCCGCCCCACTCGGAGAAGCTGTCAGGCAGTGTGGGAGCACTGCCACGCTGCTCAGCGCCTGGGCTCCAACAATCCCCAGCGCAGGCTGCAGGGCTACCTGCTCCAAGCTGTCCCAAGGCCAGCCACGCCGCGCTCCAGGGATGCTGCCGGACTCCGCAGAGCCAGCCCAGCCTCGGGGCTGCCCTCGCCGGCCCCCCAGCGCTGTCCCCGGCAGGGCCCGGCCCGTGTCCCCCGGCCAGCCCGGCCCACGGGTGGCACGGCTCGCCAGGAGCCCCTCAAGTCGCGCTAACAGAGTTGACAGGCCACGTGTGACGTCACCGAGTCTGGCGTTACCATGGCAAGTGATTTATTGATGTTTATCGGGAATGAATAGATCAAAGGCTGCCAGATGACAGGCGATCAATCAGACATCAAATCAAGGATGGCAACAGGCCAAGGAAACCTTTTCCAGCCCACATATCCCCAACTAAGGATTACTGTAAAATTATGTGGGGCTTTTCTTCTACTGTTTTCTTTTCAATTTGGCTTTTCCAAAAAAATACTGCTTAAGTTTAACAGGAGTTGACATTTCTGGCAAAAGGAAAACAAGCCAAACAAACAAAAAACCTCACCAGCACAAAGCCTCGAAAAGTAATTCTAAAAAGGAAAAAAGAAACCAGTGGAAATTGTAAAGGCACTATCAGAAACATTCACCAGTCACTTGACAATACACAGACCCTTTTTCTTTTTTTTTTTTTTTCCCTCCTTTGGTTTACTTTGCAGCTTCTACTCTGGACTCATAAATAAGAAATCAATAGGATTAACAGAAGAGGCTACCAAAGAAAGTGACCAGCTAGGACGGTCTGTCTGTCCGGCAGAGACATCTCCAGTGCAGTACAAGGGCAGAAGAGAAAAAGGTAAAAGTTGGGCAAAGGAAGCAGTTCTGGGCTTGGATCATCAACTAACACTGCAGAGCCTCCAAATCACTTTGTCCCTGCCACTTCATTCACGGCGTGCCATATTTTGATACATACCCTCTCTCTTTTTTTACAGGAAATAAAAATTAAATAAAAAGAATATTTTCTCTGGCTTTCACAAACCATTTGCCTGTGAGGGAAGGGGATGTAGAAGAATGAAGACTACGAGGGAGAGAAGCAAAGTAGGTGCCAAAGTACGGGCTGGAAATAACCAAAATTCGCCTCCTGCTTCCCCCAGCCCTGGAGTGACACCGACCATGGGAGCCCGAGCAGCGTGTGCCGGCACACACCCGCCTGCCCCTCGCACAGGGCTACCCCCAGAACCGAGCCGGGCGATGGCAGAGTTCGGAATAAATCAAAGCGGGCACCAAAAGTGGGGAACGGGCTTTCATGCGCCCCCCACCCCAAAAGAAAAAAATAAATAAAATCCCCCCAAAACCCCCAGTCCGGCGCTGCGCCTCCAGCCCGGGAGTTGCTCGGCAGAGCCCTCGGCAGCGGCGGGCAGCGGGGCAGGAGCGGGGCAGGAGCGGCGGCGGAGCCCGCCGGGAGCCGGTTATGAAACAGACGGAGGGAAGCGAGAGGAGAAGCCAGCGGCCGCGGAGGGAAGGGAAGGGAAGGCAGGGAAGGAAGGGAAGCGGCTCTCGTACCTGCTGCGCGCCGGGGCGCTTGCTGCTTCCTCCTCGGCATGCTGGGCTCCTGCGGGCGCCGGCGGGGGGGGGCAGCCGGGGCGCGGGGGTGGGAAGAGTTGCCTCAGCCCCAGAGATCCGGTGAGCTGCTCCAGCCTCGGCGCGAGGGCTGGGTCGGGGATATATTTTTTGTTGCTGTGCATACACGATGCCGAGTAGGAGGAGGAGGCGGCGGCGGCGGAGGAGGAGGCGGCACACAGGAGAGGACAGCCCTGCTGCTGCTGCTGCTGCTGCTGGCAGAAGAGGGGGGAAGTTTGACAAATCGCCCCGGAGGAAGGAGGAGGGGAAGCCCCCCGAAGAGGTGTGCGGGCGGGAGGGCTGGGGAGAGCCCGCAGTCCCCCCCACCCCGCCCTGCGCCCCCGGTGCCTGGCCGGGCTGGGAGATCACGGCATAAAGACAGGGGATCTCTTGGCCGGAGCCGGCGGAGCCTCAGCCTGCGCTCTCCACTCCCGGCTCGGCGCTGGAGCGGCGGCGGCGGCGGCAACAGGCGAAGCTTGAAGGGAAACGAGATGATCGCGGTGTCACTCAAACTGGTCCGCCGAGGGGGAGCGGGGCACCGCCGCCGCCCGCCCCGGGCCGCGCCTTCACTCAGCGCGCATCGCCCGCCGGACCGGGCACGGAGGCGGGCAGGGGTCTGCCCCGCCGGCCGGGGCGACACCCTCGCCGCGCCCCCTCCACCTCCGAACTTCGCCCGCCGCCGGCGCCGGTCTCCCGAGCCGCCCGCGGCGGAGGCGGAGGGCTGGCCGGGCAGGGACAGGCAGGGCAGCCCGCCGGGCTCCGCGCCGCTCGCCCCGCTCCCCGCCGCAGCCCTTCCCTTTCCGCCCCCGCGCGCACCCGTTCCCCGCCGGAGCCCCCCGCAGCCATCGCCTCCCGCCACGCCGGGGCACGGGACCCCCCCGTCCCCGCCGCCCCCGCCTGGGGGGGTTTTTTTAATTTTTTTTTCTCGGTCCAAGTTCACTGCCGAGCCGCCGCGCTCAGTTCGGCGAGCGCCGGCGGATCGATGTGCTGCGGGTTTGATTGCGCATCCCTGGGCGGCGGGGCCGCGCGGCGCGGGGAGGGCCGGGGCGGCAAAAAAAAAAAAAGGCTGAGCTCACTTTTACGGTAAGATCAAAAAAAATTTCCACTCGCCCCCATTCTTCGAGATTTGGGATAATTCCAAATACCTGACTAAGTGCAGATGTTGTTGCGTCTTCACATCCTATAAAGCCGCCGTGCCGCTCTCGGGCTCTCGCTTCCCTTTCAAGTTGCAGGAAATTCAAACACTTTACATGACGGGTGGAGAAGGTTTGGGATTTTTTTTTTTTTTTGGATTATTATTGTTATGAGTTGATTTTTTTTTAAGCTGATCTTTAGGATGAAAAAAAATCGCAGTCGCCTAAAGTCCCCGGGAAATTGCTACTGTTGGGGGAAAACGAAACATTTCTTGAAAACAAGAAAATGGTGAGTTGTCAATTGCCGCTTCTGCTGCCAAACTCGCTCAGTTCCATCTCATTGATACTCGCTGGTTGCTCCTCACAGTAACAGTATCTGCTCACAGAAGGAGCGATCAGATCTGCTTAAGAGACGACACGGAGACGTTCCCCCCCCTCCCCAAAAAGCCCTGTGTGTGTGAGTGTGCGAGCGTGGGTGAGCCGTGCGGCAGGACGGGGCCGGGCGGCGGGCAGCCCCGGCGGGGCGGGCGGGCGGGCTCGCCGCCGCGGCGGTGCGTGCCGCTAGATCCGCCCTAACATCTGTCCGTCTCACCATTGGCGCATCCATCAGTGTCACCCTGGCTGCACATTGCAACGACAACACATCAGACACTACACAGACCGGGATTCGGTACAAATAACCAACATACTAAACAACTTAACCGGGGAGGAGGGGACCAGCCGCAGCACAAGTATTTACAAACGTTAGACAGCCTCGGGAAGCAGAGCTCGGCTGCGGTTAATAGCTCGTTCATCCTCTCTCCCTCCTCCCCCTTTAAGTAGGAAATAGAAAACCTAAATAATTCACGCCCCCCACCCCCCCGAAGGATGCTGCCGGCCGGGAGCAGGGGCAGGGACCGGGACCGGGGCGCGCCCCGCGCTCAGCCCGGCTGCGCTCCCGGCTCCGCGGGGCGATGGCTGCGGCAGGACCGCAGCGAGCGCGGAGCCGGGAGAGGCGAGCCCCGGGATGAGGTGCTGCTTGGCCGAGCCGGCCCGCGCTGCGCAACATGGAGGATTCCTCCGAGCTCTGGAGCGAGAGAGACTGAAACAAACTTTGGGATGCTCGGCCGGGAGTTTCGGCAGCCGAGAGCCCCGGGAGCCCGGGCCGCCTGCGCTCCTGCTCGCCGCGCGGAGTGAGGGGAAGGTCACTCTGCCACCAGGCGCTGGTAGAGCGCCCTGAAAACTACCACAGCAAAATTTAAATGACACGGCGCGTGTAGTCACTGCAGTCCTGTAAAGGCTGTTCTGAAATGTGCGAGAGCCCTCTCCAAAGCCAGAGACGATCCCGATCCTCCTCAGCTGCTGGCTGCGGGGCATCGCGAGGAACGAGCTGCAGCGACCAATCCCGAATTTTGGGGCGGTTGCAAGTTGCAAGAACTTTGTTCCTTCCACTTCCCTGTCTCTAAATCTGCTCATCTTTCACTGCCTTTGTGTCACCCTCAGCCCGCCCGGGGGACGGATGTGAGCCCCTGCCCGCTGCCGGGCTTGGCCCGGCTGCCCGGGGGGGTGCGAGCCCCTCGGCCCCGGCGCGGCTCCGCGGGTGCGCAGCCTCCTCCCGCGGGTGCGCTCGGCTGCACGCGTGCGTGGAATTGTGCGTGTGGTGGCACTTGTGTTTGACCGGGTTCCCAGACAGAGCTCTGCCTCCCGCAGCACAGCCTGCGTTGAGGATGCTGGCAGGTGGCACCTCAGCAGCTGAACGGTGTCACCAGCACAAACAAACACGCGAGACTGTCCCCGGCCCCGCTGCGTGGGGAGCTCTGCGGAGCCAGCAGCGCTTTACCTGGCTCTGCAAAGGGCGGCCCACACGCGCCGGCAACGGAGGGTGATGGGCTCGTTCCAGTGCGCCGAGCTGGGACTGGAACGAAATAAGTGAAACTTTCAGTAAACAGTCATTGGAGGAACTTTCTCAGTTCACTTAGGAATAATAATTCTCGTGTGTGAGAGAGAGAGGAAGGCAGCAGATATTCGTGCACGCAGACATGTGCATTGCACTTACACATTCACAACTCTGCCAAAACGCTCAGGAAGTTGTGGAATAATTTGGTTGTTAACTATGTACATTTTTTTAAGGAAGAAAAAAAAATCTATTGAGCTTTCTATGAGACGATTTACAGAGGGAAGTGCAGATGCCTTCATGTGCGTCGGCTTCTTTGGGGGTCACAGTCTATTCCAGAGAGCCAGAACGCGTAATTTTATGAAGTGTAGCATTTCCAAACACAGCACATCAAATCGATGGCTGTGCAGACTCCATCCACGTAGACTCAGCACACGAGGCTCAGCCCTAAGCTCGCTCTTCCCGGCAGTTTTAAAACAAGGCACCAATTATTTATAAGTCACATAATTAGATAACCATCACTCTTGAACTTTCCACCAGCTAAGAATGTTTTATCTTTCCCAACCGGGCACTGCTTAACTGCCCTTCTTTGGTGTATGTTTTCACTGCTCATACTATTCCTCTCCACCAAAACTCCACCAATTGCCCGAGACACCTCTTTCTTCCCCCGGCCCGAGTGGAGACAGCGGCCGAGCCGATTAAAGACCACTGGAATTAACCGCTGGTCATGGGAACGGCCAGGGAGGATCAGTGAGGAAGTTTGGTAAACTTGGAACAGCTGGCTCTTAGAAGCCAGCGTGTTTTAGACCAGCTTTAACCTTGTTCTCTCCCGAGCAGCGTGTTGATGTTTCGCCACTTGCTCACTGCAAACAAGGCAGGGAGCGGCGTGCACCGGGGTGCCCGTGTGGCTGCTCTCACTCGCTGTTCGCACCGGCTCGCTGCTCTCCGGGGGTCAGTCCCGGGGACCGAGCGGCCCCGGCCTCCCTCCTCTCGCCCCAGCTCCGGCCCTGCTCTGCCGGCGCCTCCCTTTCGAGCGGGGCAGAGGAGCCGGCGGCGACCTGCAGGTCCTCGCCGGCCGAGTGCCCCGGACCCGCGGAAAGGGCCGGGCACCAGCGAGCCGGGGCCTTTGGAGCCGCCGGCTGCAGGGCAGCGCTGCCCGCGGCCCGGGAGCGGCTGTCGGGAGAGGCGGCACGGCGGGGCCGGGGGGCGAGCCCCGGTGGTCAGTGAGGGGCTGGGGGTCTCACCGGGCCCGGGCAGCCCCCG